TTTTAATTAGTTGTAATGAAGCTTTATTCCTGTCGTCCCGCCACATTGCGTTCATAACAGAGAATACTCTTTCTGTAAATGCTGAAGTGGCCGGAGCAGCCAGTAACAAATTGCTGTTGCTCTTAAATACATTAATAGCCTCTAAACATGGCAAACAAAGATTTAAGTAAACTAAAAGTTCATTTTTACTTGCCCTTTTTCTGTGCAATATTATTTATGTAAAAATACTCTGAATTTAGAATAATCGCTTACAAAATTACGATGTTTACTTAAGGCCTTAAATAAAGTATTTTTGCGTACTTTATGTGTCGTGTAAAGTATAACGTACGCACAGTCGAAATAGAGTACAATACTATATAATAAAGTACGGGTGGCAACCCTAGTTATAGTCAACCACTTTCGAAATCAGTATCTACTGCCTTCAGAAACGCTCACACGACATAAATATAAGCTTCAGGACATCGAAAAAAAACATATATTCTTTTATTTTACATTGAGCGGCAATCAAAACTATTGTAAAAAGGATTTTAAATCGGATATTTTTGCTAAGGAACAACGACATCGATTTAACGAAACATCCTTTATAGGTTGATGAACCATTTGAATTCGGCAAGAAAGTGAGAAAAGTAGAATTGCCTGATGGTGTATGTGTTAAAGAAGGTGATATAGTAACAGTAACAGGATACGGTCATACTATGACGGAGTCTCTTCAACGAAACGCTGACCTTAACGTCGTAGAACTTCCATTGGCATCCCTGAAGCAATGTTTTGAAAAGTATCAAGAGACAAACAAACTGATTTGTACACTTTCAAATACGACAACAATAACAGGTGTTTGCAACGTAAGTGAACACGTGTCTCACAATTCTCTCATAAAATTTGCAATAAACATTACTTCGGGATAGTATAGTACAGTCGAAATAAGATGGCTTAAGGTAGTAGTCGTGGTACAGTATGGTGAAAAAGTTATTGTAAGATCCAAGATAATTCAATGCAATAATATTTATATAATTTCGATTTTACATCAAAACAGATTGAATCGAATTGAACTAAATTGATTAATCGTGCAACACCTTATTTCATATTGAAACGTCCGTTTTTGGAGCTTTCTTCTTTCTCGAAAACTACTAAATGCATTTATGAGAAATGAATGCCTTATTGTTTATTTTTAATTTCATAAAAATATTTTTTTACAAAATGATACATCTGTTTTTAAATTAAAAGTTCCACCTTCTTTTCGTATCCGGGATACGGTTCTGCAACTAATGTTCAAAACCTCCGCCGCTATGTTTATAACGGAGATGTTTTCTCTACTTGTTTCTTTCTTTCTTTGAAAATAATTAATAACATTCCAAACAAGTTTTCTACTCTGAGAATTTAAAACTTCTCGGACCATTTCGTTGAAAGATAACAATAAAAACAACAATAACAACAACAACAACACCAACAAAAACAACGACAACAATAGTTACAACGAAAAAATAACATAAACGATATATGTAGAGAGATGACTATTCGCACAAATACACCAACTAAATTAAGCCGAGCCTGTAAATTTGCCCATTTTATGTAGGTACAAATGACAAGACAAGCATGTTGTCGATCGTCTCATTTTATTCGATTGATTCTTATGAAACGTAGGTGCAGGTCTCCACGTAGCTGTGGAGGAGGCTTGCTTAGAGAGTAAAGACAGGATATCTTCC